TATATATATATATATATATCTTAGACTCGCTTATGTGGCACCATTACAAATTATTTTTTTTTACAAATTTAGTCTTTTCTTTTATGAAAAAAATTGTGACTTTTATGAAAAGTTGAAATTTTTATAAAAATTTGTGACTTTAGTGAAGAGTTGCGATTTTTATGAAAAATTACGACTTTTATGAAAGACTATGAGCTTTTTGAACGGTTGCAGGTTTTTTAATTTTTTTTAATCTTTTTGATACAACACAATAAACATTTGTGCGAATCAACCTTTGTTGTCTATAAATGAAGGAATTTCCTCTTATTTTAACACAACGAAAATTCTGAAATTCCTTCTTCTTTTCTTCCCGATCAAATATTTATATATACTTTGGTTGTTTGAGTGATTCGCTGACACCATTGCTTATATTACATATGATATATATTTTACAATTATTAATTTTTAGCTTATGTTATTAAGGCTAAGACAATGTAATAATTTTCATTTTAAAGCTAAATGATAAGATATAATAATTTTTGTTTTTCTTTATATTATTAATGTTTGTTACTATATAATGTTTTATTTTTGATGTCAAATACATTTTAAATATTATTTTATAAATTTTGAGATATTAAATTTCGGTGAGAAATCGCAAATAACTTTACTAGTTTACATTATTTAATTTTAATTGTTAAAAAATTATGTTTCAATTATTCCATCAATAGATCATATCTGAAATTCAGAACATCCCAATTAGACTGGCGTTTTGCCTTAAAATCCAATTCTATAATAAGTTCTTGCAATTAACGTTGCTTTTCTGTCTTCTTTTCTTGTTCAAACTTCCAAAGACTCCACCTTTTTGCTTTTTCTTCAACACCCACCATTTTTTTTCTTGAAATTCTGCTTTATCTTTGACACCCACATCTTATTTTATCAATTTGATGTGGGGTTTTCTTGATTGGTGAAAAAGATTGGAACTTGGCTGTTTTTTTTTGGGTGAAGTGATGGGTGGAAGGAAAATCTTGAAGTCTTTACAAGCAGTGGTAGCTCATGGATTGCTGTTTTGTTTCACTCTGCTTCTTGTTCTCAAGCTTGATCGAGCCATTCATAATTCTTGGTGGTTTGTGTTTCTTTACTTTCATTTTGGGATTTTTTTTCTTCCAGAATTTATGATTTTTTTGGGTTCTGATTGAGGAAGTTTTTGACAGTTAATGAGCATATATGTGGATGAAGTGAAGGTCTTTTTGTCTGAATTTCTCAAAATGACATCTTTGTTGAGATTAGTCTTGTTATTTAGTACTTTGAACCTTTGATGTTCTAGATTGTAACTTGGAAGCATGATTAAAAATTAAAACTGGAATGCTGCCTTTTGGATCATTGTTGAGCTTGGAAAAGGTGAAAACTTTAGGATTTTGGATGATTTGGTTACCCTAAAATTGTTAATAGGATTGTTGTTGAGTTTGAAAAAGGTGGGAATTTTAGGATTTTGGATGATGTGGCCCTAAAATTGTTAATAGGGTGGTTGTTGAGCTTGAAAAAGATTGGAACTTTAGGATTTTGCATGATGTGGTTACCCTAAGTTGTTAATAGAGTTGTTGTTGAGCTTTAAAAAGGTGGAAACTTAAGGATATTGGATGATGTGATTACCCTAAAATTGTTAATAGGATTGTTGTTGAGCTTGAAAAAGGTGGAAACTTTATGATTTTTGATGATGTGTGACATTAAAATTGTTAATGGGATTGTTGATGTGCTTGAAAAAAGGTGGAAACTCTAGGATTTTGGATTTAGTCACTCAAGAATGAAGAGGTGCATTACCTACCACCTAGACATTTGTGAAAATTGTTTCGTTTTTTGGGGAATTTCGAGTGTTTTATATTACACTATGTGAATACAGCACGAGTGAGAGGAAGATTGGTTTAAGTCTTACCGACAAAGTGGCTCCTTGCTCGTTGGAGTTCATTCTTTACTGTATGTAGAGTCTGTTTGAATTTGTGAAGGTAGATTTAACACAGAAGAATATCTTTGCTAAGAAAATTAATGAGAAACTCTAGGGACAAAAAGAAGGATTCACATGATATTCAATGACTTGGAAATAATATGTAAGTTTCAAGAGAATTTTATTGGTGTGTATTAGAGAAGAAAGGAACTCGTATGAATTATACAAGTTTCATACATGATGTGTACAAATGAAACATTCGCAAAGTGTGAAAATGAAGGAAAGATAATAAAGGAGTTCCTCACATACTCTGGGTATATGCCTTGAATTCCACTTGTTTACTCTAGTAATAGATGAGTTAACCAATAGTATATAGATAGAAGGTTCTTTGATTTATGCATTTCCAGATGATAGATTTTATTGATCGGCAAAGTCAACCAAAAATTCAAATTCTGAAGTAAGTTTTAGAATAAAGTATAAATAAGGTAGAATATATGCACCGCACCTTTAGTCTTCATAAAAAGAAGAAAGGTAAGGAGATTAGACAGGATTGTAGTGGGTACAAGTACAATTCAGATACTAAGCTCAATCTTCCAGGAGAATAGAATGGATGATAAATGAAGATGCAGAAAATAAAATTAAAACAGAATGGCTGAAATGGAGGAGTATTCCACTGCGGGGTGTCTTTTCTTTGGTGTGTACTACTATCTGTTTCTGCATTTGTTTTGTATCTTGCTATATTTCTGGTTATTTTCTTACAATCTTGGGTCGGATACCTTTCTTTTGAGCCAAGGATCTATCGAAAACAACCTTCTACCTCACAAAGGTAAGGCATAGGTTTGCGGACATCCTACCATCCCCAGACTCCACTTGTGTTATTACACTGGGTATGTTGGTGGTGAAAGTAAGGTTGTCTTTCTTCCAATTTTGTGTCTTGCCCCTTCTGGTATAAGTATTCTAATTGGTGGAAGTGAAATATGCTAGAGCATGCATATGTGTGTGTGTTGAGAGAAAAGGTATCTCAGAAATATAAGCACTGGTTACTAAAGCCTTAGTACTCTATTTTCTGCATTACCATTTGCAGTATACAGGGACTTGAGTTTCTAAGTATTGCTGTATATTTCTTTTCTCCTTTTATTTTACAAGATACTTGAGAACATTAAAACTCCTACTCTCTTAAACAGTATGATTTGTGATTACAGTTGGTTTTCACAATTGGTTCGTTTTTGCAGGGTTGTTTTCGTTCCACTTTGGTTGTTTCATGTGGTTGTAGCAAGGGGTAGATTCTCATTACCTGCTCCATCAATGCCTCATGATCGACATGTATGACACATTAACATTTCTGATTTTTAGATTCAACGTTTCATGTGCCAGTCATTGCTGTTTGTATATTTTCAAAAAGCTGAATAGTGACACAAGCACATATTCCTTCATGAACAGTGGGCACCATTTCATGCTGTCATGGCGACACCGCTGCTTGTTGCTTTTGAACTACTTCTTTGTATCCATCTCGACAGCGCCTATGGTAAACAAGAAAATTTCCTTAGAACATCATTATCTGATGCATCTATAAGCAACTGCTTACTGCCTTCTTGCTGATTCGTAATGTTGTTCACTCACGTCTAGTTACTAGGGGCATTTTCACTAGACTTGCAACTCTACCTTAACCTTTTTCCTTTAACCTATTACTTACCTTTCAGTGCCTTGATCGTGCAAAATCTTAATTTCATCTGTTTAAATCTTGTATCATTTCTTTCTCTCTTTAAATTTGATATGCAATGCTACTTCATATAAGCGAAGCCACTTATTTGTGAACTGTGGATAATTGCAGCTGTAAGTTTGAAGATTGTGTTCTTTCCCCTGCTTGCACTTGAAATTGCTATCTTGGTTGATAATGTTAGGTAAGATACTTTTCCTGCCAAGAAATGCTGAACTTTTAAGCCATCTGGTGGCAGTTGAATTATTTTTGGGGAGGCATAATAC